TTCAGAATGAACGAAAACGTACGCGAAGGGAAGCCGATGCTGTCGCGATAGCATCTAAATATCGTTATAAATGTATGCCAAGCATATATATGTAATAATGTCACTATTGCTAAGTCTTCTCTCTGCGTCATTTTATCAACGGGTAGAAATCGCACGGCAAATGCAATCATTATGCTTCCATTAGAGATACATATTATATATTATTTATAATAGAGATATTCGTGGATGGAGGCGAGAAATCTTTATCGTTTATACTATAAGAGTCTACAATCTCCTGTATCTCGCGAGTTTGATGTAATACAACGGATTACGCAGAAAATGATGCAGCCCGCATAATAGGACAGAACTTACGTAATATCAAATCGAACCTTACTGTTTAACAGAGGGTCAAAGGAAAATTCATCCCGAAATGTCCGCGCCCTTAAGAATTTCACGTCTTGGGAAAGATTCAATCTGCACACGCTACTATCGAACGTGCGAATCGGAAAGAGACGACTCTTAACACATACCTTGCACGCTTGCGTTAATATAAAGAAAAAACACAAAGTTATGCCTTATGATATTTCCTATGTTCATCTCATACTAAGAAATAGTAAACGAGCTTCTAAGCGCAGCATTCGAAGCGCGGACATTTTCGGCATTCTCGAGCCGGCGCGCGGAAGCACGGCGCGCGTACGCGCGTGCACGACGGTTGACCATGAATGAAGCCTATTTGCGTACGAGCAATAACAGGTGACACTCGACGGCTGTTTACCTTCCCTATCGGTAAAAAGAGGGGCTGGGTAGCGGCGGTGTGGCGAGCGGCGGGCGGGCGGCCGTAGAAGGGATCGTAAACACGAAGGGAGGGGCGTTTAGGAACCACGTGGATAGCGGCGTTTGAAGGAGCCGCACCGCGCCGAGCCGCGTGGCGCCTATGCCTCACGGATATGCGTGTATTCTCCGGCGCGCGAGGTGGTGGCTTTCGACGACGAGTGTCACGGACACCGCGAACACTAGTCGGAGCACCGTGCCGCATCGCGATGCACCAGTGAAGTCAGGCTCCGACGTATCCAAAGCCTTAATAGTACCATTTTAGGCTCAGGTATTTTCAAATCGAACTCATTGTACCTGAATATTCGTGCGTTATGACTTGGAGCTGTGTCCGACACAGCTCCTTGATAGCGACGAACGTTTAAAAGTATATGAAAAGTTTGAAGTAAGAACAGAGAGAGAGAGAGAGAGAGAGGAGAAGAATAAATATAATACTATATAATACCATATTAATTGAAAAAAGTTTTAGTAGTTTTGGGTTCATCAATCTCGACAGGCGTGAGTACTGAAAAATTTAGATGCTGCATTCGATCCGTTCAACAACATCGTACATCCGTGAATACTGCTCAAGTATCTTGAAGTCGTATGCCAATTCTGCAGATTATTAGCACAATAAATGCCAATGACTACCTAATTAAACCTCGGTTGAATGAAGAACCAAAATAGTCTTATTCGTGGGGAAGGAACAATATATTTATGACTTTATGCTTAAAATAGCGTGACTTTCGTTTATGATAAGTCTCGAATTTGTCGTTTGTAGTTGAAATAGCGCAAAATCTCACACTTAAAATCTCGAAATATTGTATATTTCATGTAACACGTTTATGACAATTGTAATTTCAATTTAAATAAAAGGTAAAGAGATTTAACAACGGGTTACGTTTTTACGAATTATTCATAGATAATTAATTAATAGGGTTTAACAATTCTAATAATAGTGTCATTTCCGCGTCACTTGAGCAAGGTGTCGAACGAGGATGCATTCGGTGTAATTCCGTGCGTTTCTGGCAATCAGCGTTCTCAGTTAATCGCCAACTCGCGATTTCACGAGCGGCGACAGCGACAGCGACGGACAGAGCGCTGTTCCTCGTCGACTCTGTCCGGCACTGACCTGGTAATGGAAATCCTCTTTTAACGATCAACGTTGCATGTATATCAACCGTGTGCGCTTAGAGTACCGAAGGTACATGTACGCAACCCCTCGTACTCTCCTTCGGCACTCCCACTCTCATCTCCTTTCCCCCACCTTGTTTTGCTCGTCACTCCCTCCGTCTTCCCCTCTCGTCTTTCTTCCTTGTCTCCCTGCCGCCTCGTTCTCCCCCTTCGTCTTCCCCTACCCTCCCTCTCCTCGCTTCTCCGTCTTCTCTCTGTCCTCCCTTCGCTTCCTAAGATCGTATAGCATTCCATCGAACCGGAATCAAACGAGCTGGCGTAGTGGGAGCGAGAGAGGAGGATGCGGCAGGATAGAGATATATATCTGTATATACATGTATATATATATATATATATATATATATATATATATATGTATATATATATATATGTACGTACCTATATATACACGGGGAAGGAGGCCAGCGTAGTGGGGAGAACGGGAAAAAGAGAACTGTAGGAGAAGAGGGAGATCGGTGGAAAAGGATGGGAGGGGTGAAGAACGGGGATGGCAAAAAGACGGAAAATAGAAATAGAACGAAGCAGGAAGGGCGGCGGAAAAAGGTGCTAGACAGATAGAAAAGGACGCGAGGGTGTGACGCGATAGCCGATCTCAGGCCTATATCCCCCTACACTTCCTCCTCCTCTTCCATCGTAGGCCTTAGTATCATTCTGTGCATGTATGTGCTGCTCGCGATGATATTTACTTCAAGGCCACCAAGAGAGCTGTCTACGAGCAACATGGTACCGCGTGTGCTCATAGTGACTGCGTTAGGCATCACTCAACAGTCGAGTGCGAGTGTGCGAGTACGCGTTGGCACTCGACAAAAACTGAAAAAGGTGATGGTCGATAGGCGCGTTGTACTTTTTGATGAAGCTGAAATCGAAATACTCTTGGCGCGTATTCGAAGCGAAATCTAATTATAGATTTATTCAACGTTTGAGAATTAATTCTGCTTCGACGGAGATAAAACTTAGAGAGGCCAAATAGATATTTCGTCGTTGTTAATTTTCAACAAGCTTAGATTTTCAGCGAAATTTATTTCGTGATTCCGAACAGTAGTCTATGTAATGTGACTTTCTTTGGAACGATATTATACAAGCGGACTGAAATATCTAGCCCTAACCTAGAGATATTGTGGCGTATCTTTTCTAAAAACAACATGCGACGCACATGAGAACCATGTAGTGCTCGGATAGAAATCTCTTGCCGGTTGTCTGTTGTCACCGTCGAGACGGTGGCGAGTTACTCGTCGATCTGCAAAATATCGTTTTTCGTATCCCGTCCGTTCACGCGGTTAGTATTTTGGTCTCGCGAAAGGCGACGGCTCGGTCGCGCGGCCAAGATCCATCGATTGCCTAACCAAACTTAACGCGATAGTGACCGCTCTCGCGTGACAAATAGATCGCCACGTGGTTCGGGTCATCCCTCGCACCCCTCGTCTCCCCCTAGCCTATCCCTGCCCCCCGCGCTATCTCCGTCTTTCTCGCGGCCTGCTCCTCCCTTTCTCTCCCTTCGCGACATTCCCACGAGCTATAAATTCACGCGCCTACACACAGGTGGCAGCGCTCTTTTGCCAAGTGCATACAGGCAGACTCCCTTTGGAGATAGCAGCGCGTCTACTAAACGCGCGGCCGGCGTATAGTGGGGGAAACGACGACCGCTTATCGTATGCAAACGGGAGTCGGCAACGTGCGCGCGACGACGACGGTAAAAAGCGGCTACTCCGCGGACGCGGAGCAGATATCGACACTCATTCAGTAATAAGAACCTTAGCGAGGTGGTCCTCGCTGCGACGCTCCATGCATCAGCGAATGCGCTTTGCTCTTCCAGCTACCTTCGGGAGCAACGTCGCTCGGGAGCGCCGTTTCTATTCAACCAATCCGAGTGACCTTTTTTGAAAAAAAACGCAAATCTCGCAAGAGCAATTTTTTATCAAGATTTTCGTCGAATAAAATTCTAGTTTTGGATACAAACGAACTATCAGCTATAGATTTGTCATTTTAAAAAAGAATTTCTAAGTATCAAACCTATGCACGCTAGACTCATCGTTATTACCCTACTTGACGATTTTCCTGAGAGCTCTTATAATCAAGACGGATGTCTGAAATTCCCAGAAAGGACTGCTAACGTCAGCACTTCGGGCACGCCAATACCTTTCATTCGATACTACCTTCTGGGTAGCAATAACTGATTATTATCGAGCCTTATACCGCAAGCAAAGTAGCGATTCTACGGCACGCGCATCTCCGTGCACAACGAACCCTCATTCACTGCCTTTTCCATAGGAACATCCACGCGGATCCGTCGGAGGACGGACGGACGTAGTCGCCCAAGTCCTTCGTATAATGCAAGCGACTTGGCGGCGGGCACGTTTTATTGCGTGCGAAAGGCCAACCACGTGCGGTGAGTCGCGCGCTCTCGTGCAGGTGGCAGCACGCCGCGATACACCTTCCTTCGCCCTCCACACGCGCGTTTTCGCGAGCCGCGGCGCCGCGCCGACGTCACGCGCGGCTACGTCCTCACTCGCGCGAAAGCACCTCGTTCGCCTCGCGGCCGCGCGCACGCAGGCAATGTGTTTTTGCGTGCACGTTTCTTCGCGGCGGCGGCCTTCCTTCCCCCTTCTAGAACGCGTACACGCGTGTACATACTTCTTCGTCACTTAATCGCGACGACTCGTGGTTTCTTCCTCCTCTCCTTCATTTCCTTCCCTTTTTTTTCGTCCTTTTCTACGTAATCCGTTGCAAGTATCTCACTTGGTACTTCCTACGATCGATACCGGTGTGAAACAAATATTCTCGACATTTCCGCTGACATTTATAGTACTCCTCTAATTGTGGTTGCAAACTGAGATCAATATTATAAATATTGATGCGTAAAAAATTATCGGAAACAAGCTTTCGAAATACTCCCGCGGTATCGAATTGTCGCGTAGCTAGTCTCGACGTAAGGTGGCGGTATCGGAAGTAATATTCTGGCGCAAGAGCTTTCAGTCCAAGCTGAAGGCGGTTACGCAATCGGCCGTCTCTTTGGCTGCTAAATATTCATGATGTGAGAACATTATGTTCGAGTCAAAACTGAAGTTTTTATTAGAAAATGTGTACATATAAATGATGCGAGTTCATTATAAACCCGTCGCTTCATTTGAAAGCGACACGATAGTTTCTTCCTTTTTTCCGTTCCCTAGCGCCGCCAGATTTCTCCGCGTCTCGCATTCATCGACCGCCTGCAGCACTCGTTGACGATAGCGCTTGGCAACATTGTGCCCAACATTGCGGCGCAATGTTCACGACGCGAGCAACCGTGATTTCTCGTGACGCTCACGGGCTTCGTCCTCGTCGAGGCTCGCTCGACGTAGTCAGCGATCGACGCGTTACCCCGTTACTGTCGCGGCTCGCTCGCTCGCTCGATAGCGCCGAGGGTTGATAGTCCGCATTGATCCTGCGGGAGAGCTTGCTGGTATCGCGCGCTAGGTTAGGTCGCTGCAGCTCGTCGATCGCAACCAAGATCGCCGTTCTCCGCTCGAGCGTAATTTCACTCGGTCGCGAGGTCTCATTTCGAGCTGAAACCGCCGATTCTTGATCTCGTCTCGAGAAAGATTCGATCGTCTAAATGATAGTCGTGTCTTCAATCATAATATCGATTCTCCTGTTTAATTGGCGATGTCCGACTATAAGTCTGAATTTTCTCAGAGATTTAATGTTTCTTTCTTCGAAGAAGTTGCATTAAATGTAGTGCAATTCAAAATATCAACTTGAGCCCTGAATTGTACATTTATAAGATCGGTTAGTGCTAACCGATCTTTCCTTGTTGCAACGTGTCTTTCCTGTTACGTAGCACCAGTTTATTTTAGAGATGCGTCATCCGACGTAAAAAGAATCTGACGACATCGTGCAACATCGTCTGGAATGAATGTAAACGACACGTTTGTGCGTATTAATTGCGACTTGTGACTTAAATTTATTAAATAAAACTATTAACACCTATTTATGTTTGGTATCGAACATCACGAATATCATCTTCCGAAGTAATCTTATGAAAATTATACAAGGTGTTTGATATTAATCAGTTTTCAATCAAATGGTTTTTAACCAAATGATTAGTTGATAATAAATGAAGTGCCTTGTGAGCGCTAGTCCAAACTGGATTATTTGTCGGCGCGTTCCTCAACGTCGCCGCACCCTCCCTTTTCTACTCATGGTCCGCGATGACGATTAAATCGCGTGTGCACTGCCTCGCGATCGCGTACAATCTGATCGCGACCATTTATCTGACGTATTCGTTATTCAAGAAGATCGTATCACCAAACTTGGTGCGACCATCGGCTAAATTCCATCACTCTTTCCTTCTTTTCTTTTCTCTTTATAGTTGTTATAATATATGTGGAGATATTTTACATTTCACGTATATGCACACCAAATAGTATAGTTTGCAAAGCTTCGAACACAGAGGAAGTTGTGCATATATCCTGATACGTCCTACACATCTAACATTTAACGTCACGAAAATAGTATCGTACGCAAAGGGATGTATTTTCGCATATTACGATCTCTATACGAGATGTATCTCTCGTCACTCGTACTTAGAGCGATAAAAATCCTGTCGAATCTCGAAGGGATACCTCGCAACAGGGCATCATCCTCGTCTACCGGCCAAATACATGAGTATCCGTAGATTTTAGGTATTCGCGCTAACGAAAATTGATTACGCGCGGACCAGCGAAGTTTTAATATATCGCCCCTCGCGCGCGAGCCGTTATTTTCAACGACCTCCTCCGAAAAGTATCGGGGTGGAGCGCGAGAGGGACGAAGATAGGGTAGGGAAAAAAAAGGAAAGAAAGAGAGAGGATCCCATCAGGGCGCTACGGCGCGGAGGAGTCAGTGTCCTTTAAGTAAGTTAGGCGCCTGCGCGAATCGACGCTGGAAATTCTCGACCGGTGGTGGTCCTGCGGCCACGTGGTGGCGGTGGTAGGGCGTATCGGTGGGCGCCGTTCCGCGGGTGGTGCGAGCGCGCGCGTATCTCCGAACGTGTGTGTATGTGTGTGTGTGTGTGTGTACGTCTGTCTGTACGTGAGTGTGTGCGTACGCGCGCTCGCGCGCGCACAGGCCGGGTGGAGGGTTAATAGGACGTTGGCGCCACGACGGCGGCTCGGGGAAGCGCGGCCACGTGCGCTCGCTATCGAACGGCCGCCATCCCCGATCCACCCTACCCACCCTTAGCCTCCTCGTCATTCCCCCGTGTCACCTACCGCCACCCCCTCGCTCCCTCGCCCGTCTCCCGCCACCCACCTTCCCACCCCCGGCTGCCTCGCTTCATCTCTTCCACCCTCCTGCCCGCTTATCCCCGCGCCTCCATCGCATATCGCCACCACCGCGGCACTACTACCACCACGCCCCTAACCCTTATACACGGCGCGCTAAACTATGGCGCGCGCGCGTATATAGGTACGTATCGTTATGTACATCTCTATGTACATAGACGGCGTACGTATATACGCGCGCGCGCGCGCGCGCTCGTATACCCGCGGCTCTCGTACACAGCTGTATCTCAGAATGAGCTGGATATATCGCGCGCGCGAGAGAAGTCGCTGAACACGAGGTATACAGTTTATGCCATTACCGACGTCCCGCCGAATTTCGGGCTCTTTCCAAGCGAGCGATACGTAACGCGCGCGCTCTCAGAGACGATCGGTCGTCTCTCTTCGACGACAACGGCTACTTCACCGTGCGCGCATTACGTCAATTTTCATTTGGTTCGTTCAGCATTTTCATTCGGTCATCGAACGCACATAAACTCAAATGACGAAACGCCACTCGCGAAATGTAATTATCTGCGCGTCACTCTTAGTCTTTAAAAATCGAACGTCCTTTGATTGCTGGATAACGTAAGAACGAGTAAATTACGGCATAAGAATGATCGTCAGTAGACGATATAATCTTTACTTAAAATATTGATGAAGATTATACCAACGTTCTAGGGTTAACTTTCAGCTATCATGTTCGAACTTGACTGATGTAAGATAACGTAACTATAGTAGGATAGCATGTAATGGATTTTATGATTGCGCTAGGTTAGTTTTAAGTTGCGTACTGCCAATTGCGAATTAGTAGTCCAAGTTAATCTATGGTAGCAACTGTTATGGCGATGATTCGCGCACATATACAGTCGGAAGCGGAATGAAAAACGGGACTGAGGATTGCAAATCCTTTTGGCTAGTTTACAAACCATCTGCACCGGAGATGGATGGGAAATCACCGCGCGATAGTTGAGGGTTAAAGCGGTTATCGTGTAATTATATTCGAACGCATTATACGAACGTTTCACTCTCGTATTGTATAACCGTTTCGTCCACGCGGAATGGCCGTAATGGTCATAATGGTCGTAATGATCGCGCGTAAAGTTCGCACGTCTTTGGCTAGATGCGATTACATTAACGTCGCGTCCCAAACAGCGTAGGTGCGAGAAAATTGCGGCGACCGTCCGAGAAAGGTTCGTCGAAAGCGATCGACGTTTCCTTCGGCTTTTCCCCCGAAACGAAATACGACGAAGCGCCTTTTTCATGCGAGATAATCAGATATTTGAGCAAGTGTACGCCGGCGCCTGACAAAACCTGCGCTCGTTCTATCGGTTCCGACTCAGCCTCCTCCCCGGTTTAATGCGATCCGCGTAGTTTGGTTCGGCAATGTTTTCGTCGATAAATACGTACTTGCCACGTTGAAGCAGTTCGAGGGAACTGGCAGAAAGGAAGCGATTCCTCGAAATTAGGGCTTCCCTAATTAGGACATACACCCGACGGAGTTCGATAGTTACTCTCGCAAATAGTAATACTATGTTCTGTCCAATAAAGTCCTATTGAGACCTACTTTTTAAATTTGGCATTTGCTTCGATGACTGTTGCTGTTGACATTAGATGCCGAAGAATAACACTCTCCATCCACAATCATCGACAGTCATGCTCAATTCCGACGTATGCTATCGAGACTCGCACTCGCAACGTTCAAGTCTTATAGGAACGTGCACTGATCGTCTCTCTCCAGTCTCCGTCCATCGACGACACTCACTATTAAGAGTTATTCTTGGAGAATAAAGCTCTCGACCGAATATCCATCAATAATTACTCGCATTCATGTGTCCGCTAACTCGTGACTGCTGTCGAGAGTCGCTCTCTCGCGGGACAAAACTGTCGAGTGTGCACCGAGCCAAAGAACAACATGCAAGCGTAACCGCGAATAAGCTCGCGATCCACATTCGTGAGCACATCATGTAGCTAGTTACTCTGAGCTCGTTTTTTTCCTCCACGCGTCAACGCATCATCAACTCTCTCTCGTTCGGGCGATTGCCAGGGTGAGGCAGGGAGATAGATAGTGACAAGGAGGAGACGAAGAAGGATGCGTATGCGTGAGAGAAAGAAGCTCGGGTGAGGCCGGAGAGAGAAGGGGGTAACAGAGAAGCGCAAGAAGTCAACAGGAGAGTGACGAAGGGAGAGACGAGCGAATGAGAGTGAGAAAGAGATAGAGACAGAAAGAAAGAGAGAGAGAGAGGGAGAGAGAGAGTAGTCGGTAGAGAACGCCTCCGGTCGGCTGAAACTGCCAACTAACGAGTAACAATCCCGCGGTTATTTGCTTAATGGCGCTTACTGTTGTTGGTCTCCGCGGCTGCTAGAGGTGGCCGTCTAATTGCCGACACGAACCCCGAACCGGTAATAATAATTACCCGTCGGATAGCCAGTGTTACGTTATGCCGGCTTCTCCAGGAGCCGCGACGAGAGAATCTCCGGTCTTCCTGCCGAAAAATGTCCACGATGGGGAATGGGGATAGGGAAAGAGAGATTGTGCAAGATGCACACCCGTCCGATAGTTTCTACTCTCGGGAGTAACTGCCGATAGGGTCGCTCTGTAGACTTTTAACATCTAATGATCGTTTAACCTAACCCAACCTAACCTAACCCAACATTTCGTATCAAGAGACACGGTAGTATCTCGCGCCAAGTATATTTAGTAGTGCACCTTCGCACTAGAGAGACGCTACACCGTATCCTTTATTGGAAAGAGAACGCTTTTGTGGAAACACGAGCTTTACTACTGTACGTTGTAGCGGTTCATTTTTATGCTTGCATGATTGAACGATGTTCGACAACAACGAAGTGGATCTTGAAAAAATACGTATTGGTAAAATCTCGAGAGTATTTTTGACATAATGCTACTAGAACGCGCGACAGTACAGAATGGCCATTCTGACACGGGTTATTTTATTGATACAAAAGGAATTCTGATGTTAGCGCTGAGTTAAATAAAGTCCACTATTGTACCTGTGTGTCTAAGTGAAACAATGTTCAATAACGCTAATTGAGTTCTGGATATATGACGTTGCAGTAGAACCATAAGAATTTAATATTGTTAATATCACCAACTACTGTGGAATTTACTCTAAATGGATTTTTTTCACAAATCCGTATTGAACGTAATAGAGCACCGTTTACTGTCGCGTTTATACATTTAGAGAAAAGGATGTTTTAGAAACTTTTATGAGAATCTTACGAATATACATGCAATACAAATATTAACGTTGATATAAAAAAAGTTCGAGCTTAATGTATCCCTAAGCTAACTGCAGTGAAAGCAGTCAAAGCACAGTATATTTTGTAACTAGTTATTTTTCCCGTAATAAGCACATTCCTTTTTCTTCTTTTTTTCTTTTTTTTAGCTATGTGAAATTATTTTCACTAGCTAGACGTTCATCATCGCGCCAGCACGAATTTGCAAATTTTCCATAGCTGCTCTTCAACGGGATTCGTTTTGCCCCGGTTCTACTACAGGCGTAAGCGACTTTTCCCATACACCTGCGCATTTACCACCGCGCACCTCCCCACCCTCCCACCCAAC